CCATGCTCGCAATCGGGTCAAGTACATACCAAAATAGTTATGGGCTTAGACACTAATCCAACAAAAACAACCAAGCATAATGTATTTATGTTTCTTTGTTTTGTATTTTGGATCATATTTACTTATTTAGAGCTTGTTGCTCGACCAGAGCTTCAACCAGCAACTTTATTAGCTAGAGAAGGACGATAATGGGACCTGACTCATGTAAACTTGAATGGGATGAGATCTCATGGAGTGACGGAAATTATCTTGTCCTGATTGTTGGAATAGGTGGTCTCGAAAAATGTAGTTGCAGTTTATATGCAAGAGAGGTGATGCCAACTGCTGATTTAGGAAATTTGTATTATTGGTTTGTTTTGTTTAGATCAAACTCATATTTGAAAAAATCATGATATATCTTCACCGGATACATGATTTCATTTTTTCTATAGAATGTCAGTGGTACAACGGTGGAAAACCCGAGATCGAAACATCTCCAAGGTGAATAACCACCCCAGTCTTTGCATCCAGTTTCTCTTTGTAGGGCTTCATGCATGATTTCATTGTTATATCTTAGTTTGTACACCTAGATTTGCATATAATTAGTATTGTATTTCTTTCTGATTATGTTTATTGTTAGTGATTTGGTTACAAGATTGATGGACTTGCTCTTAAACTCTTCAAGACTCATCCAATCTTCTTGAATCAGCCTCACTGAAGACCACATAGAAGGACAAAACCTAGTTTTCGAAGTGGCAGTAAATCCTATGCGATTTCCCTCTCGAATGACGACGACATAGTTACTTCCTTCTCGAATGACGATGATGACGACGACATAGCCCCATCTTTCCATTTTCTTTGTATAAACCTGAAATTTGACTGTTATTGTCGGCCAAACAAAGTTGCATATTGTGTTATTCTACAAAATCACCGCGTTAATTTGATATATATGTAAAATTCTTTTCAAAAAAGTTCACTCCTATTTTAGGTCAATTATATTTTATTCGAATCTTTCACGTTACATATTTTTTTGTCAAAAAGATTAGAACTTTATTCATTTTTATAAATTTATATATTAATATTTAGTAATTACTATTACAATAAATTTACAACAATTTCAATAAAATACTAACATGTTATATAACTTTTGTCTATATTATAAAATAAATCGATAGATGTGTAGTTAAACAAACTTGGTACTACTACAAATATTTCAAGTTACTACTCATTTTTCACCTTTAATCTTATTCATCCTTGGCATCAACAACTCTATCGTCTCTATATATCACCTCATTTTTCTCTTGTAAAGGAACACACTAGCATAATCAAGGTGATTATTCGGCACACTCAATACCTAACGAATACCAAATTCAAAATTCGCTACAACATGTACCTTGGCTAATGGCTGCCACTCTTCTTAAATATTTAGTTATTCTTTAAATATGATGTTGAATTAGTTTTAGATTCTTTGAAAGTATCTGCTATTGGGATGGAAATTTTGTTGTTTTTTTAAACTAGAAGCTATTTTATGGCAAGAAATGGTATTGTCTCGTGCGCTCCTTAGGTTTACCTTGTACCCATAGCATTTTGTAATGTAACCTTGACAACATACTTAATCAATTATCATGATCACAAATCACATTTTACAATTCCAAAAAATTCCATTTCTAAATAGATATTGAAGACTCATCATGTCTACGACAACATAACACACATTTCCACTGATATCTAGCATCATCGATTAAAGCATTTGATTGAATTCAATACCCCTTTTTACACCACCACTTTGTTTATAAAGATCAACAACATTACATTGATTTCGTCTCCTTAAATCTTGAAATAATTTGTTGTAAGAACTAAGAATTGTTAATACCACCCACATGAAAGACTAAGGCCCCGTTTGATACACATCTTTCCAGGTCCAAACAGATCTTTCTGGCTGAATGGACCGGAAAGATATGGACCGGAAAAACTGTTTGATTTGCACAAAAAAATGGTATTTCCTGGTAAGATATGTCTTTTCCAGAAAGCTCCAAAATCATATCTTTCTGACTGAATGGGCTGGAAAGACAATAACGCACCAAACCCGACCTCTTTCTTTCTTTCTTGTATTATTAATTTTTTTTAAATAACCTTTTTAAAATTTAGTTTTTATTGAATTATTACTTTTTTTTCATCATTCAGCACAGTCAATCAGATGTACAATCAAACAGCATGGTTTCTTTCCCAGTCAGAAAACTTTCCCAGACAACACTTTATCAGACAACACTTTCCCAAACAGAAACTATCAAAAGGGACCTAAGTCTATCAAAGTTATGCCAACTATTAAATCCTATCACAAAAGCTTCACCATCACTTCTATTTAAGTAACAACAAAAGCACACAACTTTATTTGCTTTTATACTATACTCTAATCAATAACCTTATACATATAGAGATTTTACTAATAACATAACAAGTTTTCATATAATTAATTCTCAAATCTCAACATAACAACATACTTACAAAGCCATTAACAATCATCACCAAGGCTCTAAACATTTTTCTTCACTCCCAACTACAGAAACAAACTTGGTAGACCAAAATTCTCCTCCCTCCTCTTCTTCACCATCATCATCATCATCATCATCATCATTATCATTATCATTATCAAATAAGTCATCCAAACTGTCCACAACATCATCATCATCATCATCAATCTCATCAAGACTTTGATAATCTCCATTAATTTCTCTACTTCCATAACTAAAATCATTCTTAACCTCATTCCTTCTCTCTCTCCTCATCCTTTTCCCTTCCCTAACCAAATCCATTAACAAATCTTTCATCATCAACAACTCATCTTGTTTCAAAAGTTTACCCTCATCATCATACCCCTCCACAAGAAAAACCGAATCCCTATCCCCCTTCAAACTCACATAAAAAAGCTCAGGGTGTCTCAACAACATACCCCTCAACTTATTTGGCAACCCAAACTCTTTCCTAAAATGAGTCAAATGGTCAACTAAAGTCCGCTTCTCAACCATCATACCTAACACCTCCCTCACCACATCACAACCTCTCTTCTCTGCTTTCAAAGATTCTTTTGGAAACTCTCCAACTTTTGTTCGATAAGGGCACACGTCTTTTATCTCTCTAAACTTTATCAAAAACTGTTCTTGATGTCTTTTCACATTACGCCCTTTTCGTAGTCTCAATCGATTAAACTTCAAAGGTCTATCTACAATCAACCCAAGAGGTTTGACTTCAGGAATCGGAAGAGGGTTGACCAGGTCAATGTTACATGACACAAGCTCAAGTGCACGCCCATATGACGTGTCAACAGTTTTAAACTTTTCAGGGTATTGATTACAGAGTCTAGAACGGAAGTTAGAAGGGAGGCCAAGATCAGGGGCAATGTGGACTAATTTTGATAGAAGTAATCTTTGATGAGAAGAGAGCATGAGAAGTTTCTGAAGTTTGTAGGCTAAAGAGTCTGACATGGCAGTTTTGAGGTTAGATTCTTGAATTGCGAGAGAAGATGCAGATGGAGTGAGACGTACACAGAGTTGTGGGAGTGTTTTTGTGGCGTTTAATGGTGTTGAAGGTAAAGGGATAGTGAAGAGTTCGAAAATGGTGGGGTAACGATGGATCATGGAGAGAAGGGATCGGGGTTTTGAGAGAGAAAGGTAGGATCGACATTTGCCTAGGATGTGAAGTGGCATGTAGTGTTTTGGTTTTGAAAGGAGTAAAGTTTTGAGCTTTTGAACAAATCGGATCTTGTTTTGCTTTACTACATGGTAGTCGAGTGATGGGTCACGAACATGTTTGATGGATGCAGTGATTGTAAAAGATAGGTTTTGTGGTTTCTGTATCTTGTTATGATTTCTCTTCCAGAAAGAATGAGAAGGGAGGAAATCTGATTTGAGAGAAATCGGGGATTTATCATGCGTATATGATAAAGCATGCGATAGAGATAATTCCATATTTAAGTTATGTAAAATCCTGCAAAAGGTGGAAAAATAGAGTGTCAAAGAGATAAACAGCGATTTATAAGTGAAGTATGTGAGTGAGGATTTTCGTCGAACAGATGGTGGGCAGTTAAACAATCAAACCCATAGCGTAAAAAAACCAAATTAAAGCATCGAGATAAAGCTGTTGGTCGTTTATAATTCCGAAACTCATGGGACTAATCTTGTAAAATAGTTTATTGGTGATGAACTTACAGGTGATAAGAGCTTGAAAACCCCTGTTCGAACTTTGAGATTTTCTGTAATTCTTCCACCCAACTGATAATAATTCGCAAAACTGCAGATGGTTCAGTAGTTACCAAGAGAAACCAGATAAATTTAGCATCTTTTTGGAAAAAAGATGTAGACGAGAAAGAAAACAGATATCGGACTACAAACGCTTTTATTAAAACAAACCAGATATTGTTCTTTCGAAACAAAAAAAAAATTTCAAGACTAAAAATGAAAAATGCGTTTGCCGGGAGTCGAACCCGGGTCTATTGCTTGGAAGGCAATTATCCTAACCGTTGGACTACAAACGCTTTATGTTTAGTTTTGATGTTTCATTTACATATTGTCATAAGTAGAGTTTGATTCGAAAAGTAAGAAAGTCTATTCTCTCTGATTTTAGTGTTTGTTATGTAGTTATAAGATAAAATTATGTTTTAAAAATTTTACAAAGATAAATTTTGATACGTTCATGCACTTAGCTAATTCCCATGTGTTCCTTTTTTCCATAATTCATGCATTAGAGTTGAAATAGTCTTCTCTTGTTAGTTAGTTCAAATTTCCCACACACCCACGTTGCATTATGATTAGTAGCATTAGTCACATGATCAGTAGCAGTAGTCACGTTTTCATGTTTCATTAATTTTAGGAGTTACTTCATTATAAGTATTTTAATTTGGTTGCAAAAGAAATTAAGCAGAAAATTGTTCCAAGAGTTTGTTTCTTTTCTTGTTTATTAGGAGATTAGCCATCTCGAATTTGGCTTCTATCAAAATTGATCTATAAAAACCAATATAACTTCACAAAATGATTATATAATGCCTAGTTGCAACTATAAATTACAAGTTATCGGATTTAGAGAGTTTTATGTTGATTTATTCTAGATTTCTCTTACAAGTCTGCTTTGATTTACTTCTTGCCTCCTTTGCAGGTTAGCGGTTGTTCAATGACAGAGGTTGTCTTGAGACAGTCGTTTTACCTCCTATGAAGGCACAACTGTGGACATCTACATACTCTTAACTCATTTCAAAAAGATGTATGAGGTTTTTTGGTGGTGTGTTTTTGTAATTATAAACTAGTATTTAGAATGTACAATTCAGCACATTATGGTGCTTAGGTGTTCTCTTTTTCCATATTAAATGACCGAAAGAATGATAAAAAAATTTCCTAGAGTGTTGTATATATGATATTTGTTTATTTCGTACGTTGGATGAACTGTAAACAAAATGACCATTTTACTATAGCTTTTCAGAGAAGCAAAGTGTGTTTCTAGTCATAAAATCATACCGGAAAATTAAGGGAAACACCTATAAATGTTACAATCTTGACACAGCATTCTACTTGAGTAGAATTATCTGAAAATCCACATTATAAGTTAAAAATTAAAGTGAGTTATGAACTTGCCACTTTCTACCTTATAAAAACCTAAAATTCTTGTGTTTTTATTCTTTGGAGCATTTCATCAAACACCTTGTATACATTCATCCAAAAACTTACCAAACACCCAACAGTAACTATATCTTCACGATAAAAACCAAAAATATACATAAATATAAAAGAACATAGTGGAAATCAGGGAAACACTTGATTTCATCTACACTATATTATAATCGTCTTCCCACCACCTATAAAAAACACTACAACCCTAGCGCTTAAGCTTAAAATTTTACCCACGTAGTAGAATCACATCTGAAAAAATCTACATTATAACTTAAAAGTGGGTTATAACTTATAATCTTATATCTTATAATCTTATAATCACCTATCTGATCGATACCCCTTTCCCACTTTCTATCTGATAAATTTATAATTTACAGTGTCTTGTATTTCGTGTTGATCTGACATCAGCGAAAGAGTTCTGGGAAAGACCACATAATAAACTTGGCAAAAATATCGGTTTCCAGAAACTCTATGTGAGCAGCTCGACCAATTATCGTGTTCAAGTTTCTTCCTTGTAATGAGATATCAAAGTTGACATCGCATCTCATGAACATTCTTTGTTCAGAAGATGGAGATCGGATTTGATCTAAGCAGTTGTTGAGCATCTCGTGGAAAATTTTCCCTTTTTTTGAGTAGTCTCCTGATGACGTTTGACACATCTCGATTCGCGCAGAATGATATGGAACGTAACCATCCTGAAATAAATCGAGTAAAATTACAAATTCGGTCCCTATACTTTACTTAAAGATCCAATTCAGTCCATATTCCAAAACTTCCTCAAAAAGTTCGCATTTTATTGCAGATATTCAGATATGGTCCCTGTGTTTTACATAAAATTGCACGTTCTGAACTTGCAATTTTTGGTAAAGCACAAGGACCAAAGTTGTAATTTACTCTTTTTTTTTTTTTGGTAGAATACCTGAGGAGATGAGAGAAGGATTATGTTCTTGAAATATTCCAATGTCTTTTGCTGAAAGTAAAACAAGAAATTAGAATCTTGAAAACTAAAAAGAAAATATGTTCTTGAATCTTATTTTTTATGTACCTTGGAAAGTTTGTAGAAGAAAGTGTTTTCAAGATCAATATCATCAGTGAAAGTAAGCTGATGAATGCAACGTGTGTTCTTAAGCTTCTTCAAAAGCCATAATCCAGAATTGAAAAGAGAATTTGAACTATACAGATACCCTAAATGTGGGCCCGAAACAGACACATATGTATGAAGGTATCTATGGTATGGCTCCATGATGCTCTCTACAAATTTCAATTATATAGAAAGAATTGCCACGTCAGCATGTGGACAATGACATTTTCAATGTGTATATAATATTGTTTACCTGAAAGTGCAGTTCTAATGATGACATTTCCAATGGAGTGGCCCACAAAGCTGAGTTTAACATCTTTTAAGCCACCAGATCTTGAGGCTTTATCCATTTTCTTTTTAACAAAAGCAATCACTTCTTTAGCTAATCTTAATCCCATGTCCCTAAAGTCTTCAGATGTTTTATCTTCATTCACTTCAGACATTAGAAACTCAAGTTTTGGATCTATTAAAAGCCATTGATTCCTTACAAGGCGTAAATCCAAATGATGTCCCTGTTTATTTTTCTCATGTCAGTTGGAATGGAATCACAAAAGAATGGAATGGAATTAAACAGGGTACCTGAAAACCATGAACAAACACAGCAATCTTCAAAACACGTCCTTTTTGATGATTGGTGGAAATTCTTGAGTCATTTTCTTGAAGAACTCCATTAGTAGTAGCCTTTTGATCCATATTTCTGAAGTAAGAATTTCCACTAGGTGAACGCAATGGTGCATTTACAACACGTTCCACTATTATAATTGGTATACGTGAGGGATCTCCAAAAATATGAAGATCTTGAATTGAACAACTGTTTATCTGCATATATTTTTAAAAAAAAATTATAATTTCAACATTAAAAAATTAATAAAATGCACCCTGAAAAACACACTCACCCTCATCTGTGCAATACTTCGCCTATGAAGCTCAGCTCTCATTGCTGCAGCTTCAGAAGGCTAAAAAAGGACAACAAAACAAGTCAATAACATGTTTCATGTTTGGATTTTGTGATAAGTGAAAATTGTTGTGAGATAAATTACATCTTCGGTTATCTTTCTGAGAACAGGGACACTGCCACGTGGACCTTTGTATGCTGAGTCATCAACCTCGCTTCTGATTGGTTGGAGAGGCATTTCAACTTTGGAGTACACCATCCATATTGACCACTCAGCTCTACGATCAATACCCCATGAATTACGCAAATGGTCTAAAATTTTTGCTTTGTTAGCCCTGTTGTGGAATACAAGATAAGATTTTGATACATATAATCATAAGACAAAAGGACAAAATTGGAAAAAGAAAAAAGAAGCAAACCTGTGAAACTTGAGAAATGTGCTCCATAAGTAGAGAATTTGGTCTCCAAGGGAATGAAAAAGACGATAAAGTTCATCGTTTTGTAGGGTGTAAAGATAATCACTCTGCATATCAATGGATCCATTTGGAATCTGTTCAAGAATATAAGATGGATAAGTATAAGACATAATTTAAAGAACAAGTGAAGAAAGTCACAAACCTTAGAAACATTAGGAGTCTCTGTTTCACTTTCATCATGTTGTGAAGTGAAACCACTTACATCAATTGTTTGATTAATTGCTTTACTAAGATTTCTTAGCTCTTGAAGTAAATTTGCACGTGAAATTAAAAATGCCTTCACAAGCAAAACCTGTTTCAGTAGCATGATTATAATTTATCAGTATATCAACAGTTCTCTAAATATATATCTATTATATAAAAATCCAGAATGTATAAAATATTAAAATGCATACACGCTTTTCCTTGTCATACTTGTTGTCACTGGAAGCTTCTTCATGACTAAGAGAATTGCTGCGACTACAAAAGATAATACATTTAAAAAAAATCTGATTTTGTGGATTGAAAATCAATATGGAGTGAAAAAACTTTGAACAAACCTTGGTGTTTTCATGGTATGAACACCACCTTTTAGTAAGCTGATGTGGACAGTGGTATCAACAAGCACAGCATGGAAAGCATCAAAATGAACAGGACAATATGAATGTAGTCCAAGAAGAGCTTTGGGTGGAATTCTGAACTCATGAACTGCAGCAGGGGTTACTTCCAAAGAGTCCTGCATATTGGAGCTGAAGATGGAGCATTAAAAACACTATATCCAGTAAAGTATTGATAACATTATATCCAGTAAAGTAGAAAACAGTATTGTGTGCTAACCCGATCTCCAAAACAGGTGTATACAGCAGCTCAAATTTCAGAATTACAGCAGATGTGATTGGACCCTGAAGATTGTAAGTGTTCATCATTGGCAAGATAACATGAAGAAGACAGAACTTCTCTCCTACATTTACTAATTTAACCACAGAGAGAAAGGGAGGGAGAGAGAGAGAGAGAGAGAGAGAGAGAGAGAGAGAGACCTCAAATTTACCAAGAGATAAGTTGAAAGCTATCATGACTGATAGAAGAATATCCTGTCTTGCATATCGAATCTTGAAAGGTTGTGATGAAAAACTATGGTCTGTGTCATCAATCTTCCATACACCCAATACATTATCAGAACCAAGATCAGGAGCTGTAATTCATGTAAAAATGTTGCATAATATTAGTTTTGAGGCTGGAAATAACTTAATAAAAGTTAACAGGTCAAAGATAATTGCATAGATACCATCGTACTGAACCACTCTTGAAGGAGTTCCCAGAGAAGATGCATAGTCGCTATCTTCCCATCTCATGGTAATCTTGATCTGATACCACCTATAAAAAAAAATAGCAGATTTGAATCTGGTGCAGGTCAAATAATGCTTTACGATTACAACATTGAGCTAAAATCTAATCGAAGTAATAAAATTACGGAAAATTTGTTTGTTTCAGATCGAAATTCAAAAAGAATGAACTGAAAAGTACAGAGTTTGAGATCAAAGTCAGAGTGCAGCTTTTTTCGAAAAGGCAAGTACTTCCAAATCTTCCATAGATTGATCCGATGGAAAGAGAATAACTTTAGCAAAAAATATGAACTGATAATACATTTATCGTTACCCTTGCTGAAATAGGTCTAGGTTATGAAACCTATGGATATAAATTGCAACTTCGTGAACGGCTTCCAACATTGACTTGCGATTTCGAGTTCTTGAATTATTGTAGTTCTGATGTTCCCTAGGTAGAGACAAGCGCTTCGCATCGACCTTCGGTTTAGGTGTTCTCTGTTGATTGAAACCAGCTATGAACCATTTAAGACGGCGGAACATAACTGATGATGATCTCTACGGGATTCAGTGTGATTAGCATCCCTTCGATAAATTGTCCCCCAATTAATAAAAATTAAAAAAACCCTAAATTTAAGATTTCTGAAATATGAAACAAATTAAACAGAACGCTAAAATGATTTTGACGTTTTCGGAGGGTTTTGGAGACGAGATCGTGAAGCAGACGACGGCGCCGACGAGAATCGAGGAGTCCGGCCGGCGAAGAAGGAAGACCTTGGTCTGCTCACGGGAAGAAATTGATCAAATCTGAGAGTGACTGGTTTATTGGGAAATTAATTTCAATATATTCGGAATTAATTATAATTTAAATCATAGTAGTTTGAAAAAAAACCTGGCATCACATCATAAATGATAACAAAAGCAAGAATCCTTTGCCATGATATTGTTCCATAAAATTATATAACACACAATGACACAATTATTAAAGTGAAGCTATGTAGATCTACACTGACATATTGCAATTTCAAGTTATTTGTAATGGATTGATCATTTAACATTTTTTTTTCTATTATTAAGTTTAAATAAATAAATAAACAGCTAAATAAAAGTAGATTCAATTGGTTGATTTTTTTTTGAAATGTTTTTTTAATTTATATAGATTTTTAAATTGTTTTATTCTTTTAGTTTGTATTATTGTTAATAATATTATTATTATAATCATATTTAAAATATTGATTATTTTTATAAAAAGAAATAATTGGAAAACAAGACAAAATGTGTCTCATTGGATTTGATTTTAAGGCATCAGCACCCATCGTGATATTCGTGGGTTAAAGTTTTCAAACGACTAAATGATGCTTCATTTGACATTTTAATTCAATAACTGAATTGCCTTTTTCTAATTTTTTGTATCTAGAAAAAAACTTTTTTGAGTAGAGTACGCCGAAATTTCAAAAATAATTCCCAAATTTTTTTTTACCTTGCAATCTATATCGTTTCGGATAAATCAATAGTGAACTTTACTTCGAAACGGTCTTCAGTAATCTATCGACTTTAAAATAGTATCCATATTAGCCTTGAAAGCTTTAAACATTTTTTTTAGCAGCAGCAGCATTATATTAAAACCAAAAAAAAAAAAAGAGTTAGGTAGAAGCTAGCTAAAAACAACAAATTAAGGCAGGATTTTCGAAATGAAAACCAACGAAAAATTATCTACAATCCTATCAAAAATAAATTGTTTCTTAAACTTAGATTGTCGAAATAATATTGCATTTCGGTAAGTCCAAAAAACTCAAATAACCACCATAAAGATAAAATCAATAATCATCATTTTCAATCTCGTCACCGGTCCGGTGTCAATCCAATTCACCATATTCATCACATAAATAAAAACCAAAAGATCTAAATCCAATCACTTAGCCATCCGAATTCAAACTTGCACTGCTAACGGACATTGAGAAAAAAAAAGTGAAATAGTCTCCAGATTAACTTGGCAAATAGTACACAAAGTCAAGTCCAAATACAAGCCTCTATCTTCTAGCTGCGTTCTGACCGGAAGGCGCTCCAACATCACTCGCCACATGAAAATATTGATCTTAATCGGGACGAATCTATTCATTATGGTTGGCGTTCTTGCTTGAAGCAATCGGTGAACATCAATAAGCTTCCTAGCAGACAAAAAAAATGACAGGAATGATCAAAAGACTAGACTCACTTGTCCTGCTGAGAACCCAATGAAACTGAATTTAATAACCCAATGAGCTTATTAAGTTGATCATACTCCGCACCTCCCCTAATTTGATGACGCCAAGAAAAAACACATCGAGTGGAAGACCAAAAACCACTAACCATAGCATTTTGAGAATTAGATAAAGCAAATAGCCTATGGAACTGCTGTTTGAGTAAAGAACCATTACACCAAATATCTTTCCAAAAGTGTGTATCATCACCATTCCCAAGAACCCTAGACGTAGAGTGTCTAGCAATACAATCTATATCATGAAGGGAATTAATAGATCAAACAATTTTTGCCCACACTCCCTCTCCCATCCTGAAGAAATCTGAGAACCCTCCATTAAGCCAACTCCATCTCCATATAACCATTTGATACATCTAACCTATAAAGCATCAGATTCAATAAAAGAATGTCACCTCCATCCCAAGAAAGGGTAGTTTATGCAATATGCTCCCACAGTACTAAATCATCTCATTTAATACTCATCATGTTATTCTAGGTTCTTTTATGACAGACTGTCAGCATGTTGACCTAGTTTCATCATTGAATCATCAACTATGTTGATTAAAATTTCACTAAAATTAAACGACTCTTTTTCATCAAAATTCCCCTAAACAACCATTCTTTTTATCACTGAGGATTAAATAACAAAGTTCACAGACTTAATTATTTTGCATTCTCCTTGGGTTTTCAACTTTGTCGGTCACCACTGCTTTCGTATTCTCATTAGTATTCTCAAGAAATCAGAGAATAATCAAAAACTTTACTTATTCGTGATAATGAGTCTCACGAAAAATATTCTCTATAAACTGATTCTCCGTATATATAATGCCCAGAAAGGCATGCTTCTATCACATGGTCAGTTATAACTTGAAAGACCCCGTGGTTCTACTTCATCCTGGAACACTTGGTGATAAAATCTAAGATAAGATCGTTCCATTTACCTATAGGCACATATAAGGCTTCGAGTTCTCTCACAATATAAATGTCATTTTTCTCACTTTCTAACCAAAACATCCATTTTATCATCTACATAGTAGAAAATGAAGCTAATAATTCTTTCTTAGCCTCTTGTGTTGCAACTCTTCTGGATCTTGTCGTCGAATCCGAAGTTGAGTTGCCTTTCGCACCTTTGTATTTGTAACGCCTCAAAAACCATGACAAAAATTTTCATTTTTAAAAGACATTTTCATAAAACCATAAGACTATCAAACATTGTTTTCAAACCAAATCCATAGAAATCAGTGTATCAAAATAATCTCTCAGTACATAAATCAACAGGATGATGTGTATAATCATACATTCGCCTTGCCCTGATCATCTGAAGCACTTGAAAATATTAAAATCAACAACTGTAAGCCAAATATTAGTGAGTTCCCCCAAAATACCTCACACAACAATACATATACAATACATGCACATCGGACCCACAATATAAGACTGGATTGCCCCCGAGCCCACAACATGAGACTAGATTACCATTTCTCGAGCCCTCAACTCATGACTAGCTTGCTCCCGAGCCCACAACAATGTCGGGTTTTCTAGGTTATAAAATTACATGTAAGCGGAAAAACACTTAAACCCTTAAGTTCACATGCAACCTAGAAATGATTAATGTTTTCTTTATTGAGAGCAATAAACTATGAATATCAAGAACCATAAGGGAAGCCTACAATAACCGAAATTCATATAGGGTTAGGGTTTACATACCTTTTGATTATTATAACAAATAATCAAACAAATCCGTTCTTCAAAACCTTGGAAAGCAAGCAACAAAAGGTTGAGTGCCTCTAATGGCTTGTACCCAAAACTTTGATGCGATTTGATACAAAAATAAAAGATAGTTTTTCATAAAACTGCAACGGAAGCTTTAAAAATAACAAATTTATTTTCGAGTTTATAAAAAAATCAAACCATCTAGGTTCCATTTATAGAGGTTAGAATGATATCGAAAACCTATAAAAAATCGCAACGTACTTTCACTGAGTTTGAACCCGAAAACTAGAAAAAAGAACAGGAGCTCATAAACCCACAGTTTAATATCGAAAACCCATAAAACCAACCCGGAAAACCGAAAAACCAAACTATGCAAAGACCGAACCTATATGGGTTTAAAAACCGAAAAACCGACTTTCTACGGTTTGGTTTGGTTTTAGCCAAAAACCGGCCCAAACCGACCCATGCTCATCCCTAGATTTTGGGGTGTTGATGAAGATAGAAAGATCAAAGAAGATGATCTTCTCTACAAGTATCCACCATCAAGAATAAGACACTTGGAATGCTAGTTCCTTCTTGTATTCTCGAGTGTCTTAAGCCTTTAAGCACTTAACTCAAATAAGCACTAAAGGAGACAACTCAATGAAGTTTTAATCACCAAACTAGCTTTAAAAGAGAGAGAGGGGTGGATAGTAGAAATAAGCTACAACTTCCATGCTTCTTTTAGAGAGAATTGCAAGATGAAAAAAACTTGCTTTTTTCATCTACAAGAGTGTCTTAAGTATCCCATGCAAGGTAAGGTCCATACCATTAAAATAATGCAAAGTATCATAAAGAAAAAGCATGGGGGGACAAAAGAAAGTGAAGCTAGGCAGGTAATCTCCTATGTGCATGGGATTTTCAGCCACGCCTTCAAAAGAAGACAAAAATTGTCTTCTAGCTTCTCTAAGTAAACAAGAACAACTAACTAGTTATGTCATGGTTAGCCAAAGTGTCCAAAACTTTGTACATGACTTATTAAATCATATCATATGATATAATAACTAGTTAAACTTTCTTTAATTATTTTTTTTCACAAAAACAATAATTATTTCCTAATTAAATACAAGAATTGATGTTATTTATTAATAGTCATGTTAATAATAAATATACAAAATATGCCAACTTGATAAAGGTGTGACCCTATAAGATCATATGTTATTAGCAATATTACTCAATAATTATTCTTGAGCATATAGATCCAATAATCTTCCACTCGCACAAGATTCATTACAGACTGATATAGACAGTAGCTGGCGTCTAACAATGGGCTATTGCCCCTAACAACATACGAAGGGTGTCATCTCATCAACAACCAATTTCAGGAGCTCTAACATTCAACTGTTACTAAACGTGTGGTATCAGTTATTCCTTTGTCTCATACATCATGTTAAACATGAGATATGGATCGCGATTAACCTCATGTGGTGTTCAACTTTTAGTAAGGCCTTATATGTCTAACTCTCAATGAATAAGAGGAACAAATATAATATTGACTACATATGCCTATCATTTAGTTCATGTTATACCCAAATATGGCCCTTAGAACTGCCTTTTACGGAACAACTTTAAACCATGTCAAAGCACAACAATTCCTACACTCAAGTCCCAAATATGTATCTCAAGTCGAAGAATACAAAGATACAACCTTTTATCAAGCATCAATTTTGATCACGATCCACAAAGTGATTTTAATGCGGGTCAGGTCCAATACGTATTCTCCTAATCAAGTACCTATGAAGTTGGTAGCAACTCTTGCTATTTTCATCTCCATGAAAATCAACCAATCCATTCTTATTAGTCTTACCCCATAGATGCTCCCATAACTATGAACGACTATGGACAATTAAAATAACCAAATTTATTCAATGATTAAACATGTTAATATAGAACACACCAATTATTTAATGAAAGACTATATCCAATAAATCAACTCATTACAATATATGTTGCTTGTACTGTTCCAATATCTAAATACCAAATTTCAATAAAATACATCCACTTATATCAACAATTC